TATATATATATATATATATATATATATATATATATATATATATTTCACACACACACACACACACACATACATACATACATACATATATGTATGTTCTGACCCCCACCTTGCCTGTTCAGAAACTACAGCCACACACAGCTTGCAAAGGAATGTTTTTATCAGTCCCGGCTCTTGCTGGCTGCGAGCCCAAAATAAACACAGATAAATTCTCTGGCAAAAGGAAACTACAGCAAAACAGGTTTATATAAATCAAATCACTTATCCAAGTGCTTTTTCTCGATGATTGCAAACAGAGACTTGACTAGAACAGGAACGGAACGGAATGGAACGTTGACTTCTGCAACTAAGGCGTGGCACCATAAGTCTTTTATCCGCAGGAGGAGATCCTAATGAGCCACAGCTGCTTGTTATCCTCCCCTGTGAGTCGGTCAGCCCTGCATCCCAAAACAACTCATTGGAGGTTTCTGCTGAGTCACAACAATCTACTATAGTACTGCCTTACATCTAAATATATTTACCCATGTAGTAGGCCTGCCATACTATTATCCTTCTCATCTTTTTTTATTATCATCTCCTATTGGTATTTTATGATTATACATATTACTTTGTTGCTTTTCATGTACACTGAGAACTTAAGCACTGGGGACAAATTCCTTGTGTGTCCAATCACACTTTGCCAAAAAAGAATCCAATCCTATCCTATCCTATCCTATCCTATCCTATCCTATCCTATCCTATCCTATCCTATCCTATCCTAACCTAACCTAACCTATCCTATTCCATTCCATTCCTGCTAAAAGGAAATGATTATGGTGCTGAAGTACAGTGAACCATGGATATTGTGGTTCAAAGATATTCTTAATAACTTCTTTTCAGTTCAAAGCACAGTTACTTCTATTGTGTATTACTGAAATCTACCATAGAATCTGCAGCAAAGTCTTATTACTTGTCCTGTACATTTCATAAATGATCTTTTTTCTTAGGTAAATATTTTTATTATTGTAAACTTATATTTCAATCTGTGAGATGTAAGTTATATTCTCATTGTCACTTTTTTGATCATAGCTATCTCTCTCTATTTCTTTTTTACAGCTATCAAAACAGTATGGACCCGTGTTCAAACTCCTACTGGGACTCCAGAAAATAGTGGTGCTAACAGGTTATGAGACCATAAAGGAAGCTCTGGTGAATAAGGCTGATGTGTTTGCTGAGAGGGCCTCTGTCCCCATATTTGAGGAGTTTTCAAAGGGTTTTGGTGAGGACCCTCATTCCATGTCAATACAATTTGCAAGCATATACTGTAACTATACAATTGAGACTCTGTGCCAAATATATCACAGAAGCAGAACAAATTAGAATTGACTGAAACTGAATTGACTGAAACTGGTTTTTAATTTGGAAATAACTCAGCTCTTTCCAAAATAATAACTGAAAGAGATATAAAGGAATGTAGGGAACAATGAAAGTTTTTTTAAATAATGGTACATAGCAACAGAAAAAAAGGAAAAGCCATGTCAGAAACTAAATATAGGAAGCAACTACAGAAGAACAATATAGTATAGCTCTTGCTAAGATTTAGTGCTGTCAGTTAGATAATTGTATATTCTGGAATAAACAATGCTGTAGGGTAGGTTTCTTTAAGAAATGATATCTTTCTTTGCTTTCTTTAAAAAGCCACTAGTCAGTTCTCTGCATTGGGATGGTCTTTGTAATCATTCTGTAAAATGGGACTATAGACATCTTCCTCAAACTCTTCCTTTAACAATTGGCAGAATTATTTGGCTCTCTCCCATGCATGAATTCGATCAGTATTTCCATACACACCAATTGTAAGACATGGGTATTTCAACTCACAGAATTGGCTGGGGAATTCTAGGAGTTGAAGTACACACATTTTAAAGTTGAAAAGGTTGAGAAACTCTGATTTAGACAAACACTAAGGTAGCATAATTAGAAAACTTAACTGAATGTTTAAGAAATGTTCCTTGGATTGGAAGAGCCAACTGGATGACTGTAGGGAATGCCTTTCTTCATAATCAGTTGAAATTTTTGCATATTCTTTGTTATTTCAGGAGTAGCTTTTTCCCATGGTGAGAACTGGAGGGTGATGAGGCGTTTTATGTTAAGCACATTACGGGATTATGGGATGGGTAAGAGGTCTATGGAAAGCAGAATAGCTGAAGAGTGCAGTTTCCTGGTAAAGAAGTTTGAATCTTACAAAGGTGAGTTGATGTTTCTTCTGGGGCTCAAAAACTTATCTATCTTATGTTATCTTGAAGGAGTAGAGATTTCTTCATGACACATTCCAGACTTGCAGAACTTTAGTTCTTTTGAAATAGTTTTTATTGAAGGATATTCACAATGCTGAAAGATAATAAAAACTCAAATCAGAAAAAAATATAAAATAGAAGAAACACAAAGTGCAAAGAGGAGAGATGAAAGGATCAGAGACAAACAATCTCTCAAGAAGAAGAATAAAAAAGAAAAGAAGAGAAAAATAGAAAATATTATTTTAAAAAGTGGCTAATTTCTTGCAACAAATACAGGAAAATTAATAGTGTCTCACTCTCGATGAGATTACATAATGGTTCACCTCTTCCCATAACTACCCCTCCTTATCCATTCACAAATCCAAAACTCATTGTGATTTCTATCCAAATGTCAGCAAAAGGTCCATAAATGTTTCCAGAAGTTTTTTTAATTAATATTTTAACTTTGATCAAAGAATCCAATTGATGCTAGAATCAAGGCAATGAAAATCCAAAGATAGTAGTTATGATAGTTTTATATTATATTAACATTTTGCTGAAAATCCATATTGGTTGTTTAGGAAAACCATTTGAATTCAGAAGAATCATGACTGCAGCTGTTGCCAATATCATAGTATCCATTTTACTTGGGAAGCGATATGACTATGAAGATCCAAGATTTATTAAATTATTGAGCTTGACAACAGAAAATGCCATGCTTATAGGAAGCCCAGGAGTGCAGGTAATGATTATTCATCTGAAAAGCATTAAAATCTCATTTAGTGTGTAGGCAACACAATGTACATTTTTCATTGCAAAATCCAGAGCTAATGTAATGTAGAAAAACTCAAAATATTTTTTTAAAAGTGATCCAATATTTCCATTGTCCTTCCACTTGAGCATACAAATATGTATGGAGGTAGGTCAAATATTTATATCCTATATCAATCGTTTTTGCAATGGGAACTTGGTGCAACTCTGGTTCCATTTTCCAGTCAATTTACAGTATAAAAAAGACTACAATCTAATTCAAATGTATTTCAATTACTAAGAACAAAATTTTATATGTTAATGAGAGCAACACAATATTAACTAGAGCTGTCTAGTTACCTCCAAAATTCCCCACCAAATTTGTAGTGGAAAAATTTCCTGGACACTACATATTGCAAACCCTATGTTTAAGGAAACTGAAAGGACGTCTAATTGCTCTAGCAGTAGCAATAGCAGTTAGACTTATATACCGCTTCATAGGGCTTTCAGCCCTCTCTAAGCGGTTTACAGAGTCAGCATATTGCCCCCACAGTCTGGGTCCTCATTTCACCCACCTCGGAAGGATGGAAGGCTGAGTCAATCTTGAGCCAGCCAATATGAGCCAGCAGTGTGCAGCAGCTGCCAAAAAAGCCAACACAGTTCTAGGCTGCATAAACAGAGGGATAGA